AGCAGCAGAAACACAACATTGTTGGCATTCAATAAATCCGAAACTGCAGCCACTCTTAGCCTTGTTCAGTTGTACACCTTTTTAATTGTAATTTTGGCTTGGTATCACGGAACCTTTGTAGTTTCACTAAATTTTGTCTCTCATTTCCAACTTAAAGTGACTTGGGAAAATGCTTTTCAAGCAATTCCAAGAGCTCCATTGAACATTGTAATAGTCTAGTATACGCATCTTAGTGTGGAAGTGTGTCAAGTGGCTCCAAGTGTCACTTCCACTTCCACTTTCACTTAGGGTCGTGTTTCATCCTTCCATTTCTATTTTCATTCTTTATTTAATATTTTGCTTGATGTTTAATTTTTCTTTTAAGTCTCCGTGATATCTAGGTGTGCGCTCATATAGATAAACCTTCTTTTGGTTTCTAGGCGCATCTCATTGTTGCATTCCAAATTTTTTTGAAAGACTTCTCCATTGAAACTTGGGTAAGAAACAGGAGAAACTCTGGCTAAGGAAGGATAAGGTTTTTAATCTTGTCCGTTGAGACTCACCTCTCCTTCTTAGGAGCTATTCGGTTTCTTCACCTTTAGAATCTCTCTAGAAGTCATTCACCAAAAATACAAAAACAATCTTTGAAAAGTTTTTGACTCAACACTTGTGAAGCCTTTCAAAACTCTTTCGAAAATCTTTTCTCTACTTCACAAGTATGAGTAACTCTAGTGTTCAAGGTACCTTTCATCATGATCAAGACAATATGCAATTGAGACAAGAACTTAATAGAACTAAAGCTGAGTTAAATGAACTCAGACAGATGATTAATAACCTCACTCTCAATCAGAGAGGAGAAAATCATGAGGAACACTCTCATAGGCAACACCATGTTCATGGTGATCATTCCCAACATAGTGATCATAATAGTTTTCATCCTTATGATCACTATCAACACCCTCCTAGGAGACACCGCCATCATAGAGACCATTATGTGGAACCCAAATTAGACCTCCCCCCCTTCTATGGCAGAGATAATGTGGAAGAATATTTTGAGTGGGAGATGAAGGTTGAACAGATTTTTGAGTGTTACCACATAGATGATAGGAGGAGAGTGACCCTATCCACCTTAACCTTTCAAGGTGCAACCCTCTATTGGTGGACCTCCATCATTAGAGATCAAAAGATGCATGGCGACTATACCATCCAATACTTGAATGAGTTAAAGGCAGCCTGGCATCGGAGGCATGTTCCAGCCTACTATTCCAGAGAAGTCATGGACAAGCTCCATAAACTTTAACAAAGAAATATAAGTGTTGAGGAATATAGACAAAAGTTAGAACTACTCATGTTAAGAGCTGGAATCAAAGAGGAAGAAAGATTCACCATAAACTTGTTCATTGATTGTGGATAGTGGTTCCTCTTGCAATTGTTGTAGTTCTAGAGTGGTGAACAAATTGGCCTTACCTACTATTCATCATCCCAAGCCTTATACCTTCAGTGGATAACAGAGGATGAAGATATAGTAGTAAACACACAGGTAACCGTACCAATATCCATTGGCAACTATGAAGAAAACGTTTTATGTGATGTTGTTCCAATGGATGCTGGGCGTGTATTACTTGGTAGGCCATGGCTATATGATCATAACTTCACTCATGATGGCTATACCAACAAAATAACTTTCCTTCATAAAGGAAATAAAATCACATTGATTCCTCTTACACCTCAACAAGTGAAAGAAGATGAGATAAAAATCAAAGAAAGTAAACAAGAAAATAGGTTGGAAAAGCAACCTTCTCAAGAAAAGAAGATGGAGACAAAGGTATGCATGTTGTTAACTTCTTCATTAACAAGTAAATACCTTGACTCTTCTTCTCAAAAACATCACTTTGTTTCTACATTTCAACATGGGGAATATTCCAAACAAAGTGAAACCAAAAATAAATTAAAGGCCACGACTTCTTCTCATAAATTTTTTCTCAAAACGCCTTCATTTTATCTTCTTATCTTTGCATACATCCTTTTACTCATACTAATTGTTGCTATTTTTTGTAGATATATTTTTGACCCAGGTGAAAAATAGAAACCAAAGTTGTGCTTCTTTCTTTCTTCCCGATTTGAGGACAAATCGTTTTTAAAGAGGGAGGGAATGATTGCAGCCCCTTTAGGGACTTCCCATCCAAAGAAGTATCAACTTAAGTCTAAGAAAGGGAAGTTCAATAAACAAAAGGATCTTTTCTTTCTAAGTCTTAGAATGTTCTCTTTAACTAAATACATTTACCTTATTTTGTAAGTCACAAATAAGAGTGGAAAACCATAGACAATCAACCAAAGAAGCTTGGTGAGCTAAGGGAAGCAAAGGAGGTAAAGAAAGGAAGAAAGGAAGTGCTTTTTGGATTGGAAAAGCAAAGCTGATATACAGCATACGGCCAGCCAAGCAAACCAGTGTTTCCACTTTCTTTTAAAGCATGTTTTCCATATTTTACACGTGAAAAACAACAAACCATGTAGCTTCTTCACTTGAGCACGTTTCAAATGTGTTTCACCTGGAAAACACAAACCATGCTGGTCACTTTCATCAGCACATTGGCAGCTTCTTTTACACGTTTCATAGGCTTCTCTTACTATATAAAAGAGAGCTTCTTCTTCTTGTAAAAACAACTTGAGTGATATAGTGAATTGCTGCCAAATTGGATTTCCAGCCACTTCTCTCGGGTTCATTGCATTGTGCCACTTTAGCACACTTATCCTCTAGCTTCCTTCCCTCTTGGAAGGCTTTCTGAGTTAGAGACTTCACTTACACACTTCCAAACATCGAAACACATTTTTCACAAACGCCTTGCATGCACCAGATCAACCATCAACTTCTTCCATTCCACTGCCACTTTCTGGTTCTAGGAGCTGCTCATTCTTGAAGATTGGAGCTGCTTCCATCAGAAAGAAGAGCAAGTAAGAAGAGAGAAAAAAGAGGAGGAAAGAAGAAAAGAGAATGAAGAGAAAAAGATAAAAGAAAGGAATGAGAAAGAAAAGAGATAAAAAGAAGAGATTGATATAAGAGAAGAAGAGGAAGAGTTACTAAAGCCCCCTCTCACTCCCAAAATTAAGGTTGAGACTCAGATGATGAAGGGAGTTTTCCAATCTTTGAACTTTTCTCAATACATCCAACCATTTTTCATAACTCCGACTTTTACTTTTGAAAGATTTTCAACTTCTTTTTCACCTTTCACTATTTTTAACTCCTCAAAATTTTTCAAATCAAACTTTGAGTTGATGTTACCTTCTAGGATACAGTTAACTCAAAGTAAACACAAACAATTTTGTCGAGTAGACCTTAAAAGATTTTAAGTAAATTATTTTAAAGCTTTTATTTGTCTTATGTTGGATGTATATGTTTGAAAGACTATCCATTCCAATACAAGAGTTTATTTTTAGTGATATGCCATCAATGTGTCTCTCTCTTTTTAACCTAATTCTTGGTCTTATTTTTAGAAGTTAGGGTTAGTTTTTCGAGAAACATCCCCTGCAACTTTTTCCTTTGCAAAGAGACCTTTTATGCTTACGTATTTAAGGGGCTTTCTTGGTCTTGTAAAAGGGTTTATCACAAACACTTTGTTCAATCTTTGGTGTGAGGTTTCTCCTTTAGAGTGAAGGTCCCATTGCCTTATCTTGAGCAAGCTCAAATGGTGGCACTTTACCATTAATCTTAAGGGTTAGTTAGCCTTAGGACCCCTTCAAATGGCGTGTCATTCCCTCTCTCCATTTCCCTTTCACGTCTCTCCGTTTTTTCTCCATTTACTTGTTATTTAATTCAGTTTATGTGTTTTTAAGACTATCTTCTTTAATTTTCTTTTTTAATAAACTCTCCCCCTCTCTAGTGCTTTTTGAAGTGAACCCTCACATCTAAATAGCTTACTATCTTAATGTCCAATGAGAATATTCACTTAATTTTCTTAAATAACATCACACTATATTTGACAAAATATAACAAGAACCTACATCATCCATGTTTTCTTCTTGCACCCCATAAACAAATTAAAAAGTCAATTTTACTCTCATCTTCGTCCTTCTCCTCCCTTATCGCACCTCCATATGCTATCTTGCACCTTCCCTAATGTCAAGTATCTTTCATTTTTCAAACCATCTTTAACAAGGGCACTAAAAAATGGATATTCATAAAAGAAATAGAATCTCCTATATACGTCAGATTATGAATGTGTTGTCTAAGACAACTTGGATGCAAATGATGACATGCTGAGGAATCTTTTGCATTTCAAATTATATAATCTATAATATAATTTTAGATTAAAAATTGTAAAATCGACAATGCAATTTGAATTTTAAATTACCTTATAAATTTGCAATCCAAAATGTAATTTTATTTTATGGATCATACAATCCAAAATGTAATTTGTATTTTAAATTCATTTTCAAATTTACATTATGAATTATGCAATGTAAAATATAAATTTATATTACAAATTATACAATCTAAAATACAAAATTATACAAAATTGTATTACAAATTTTATAATCCAAAATATAATTTTACATTGTATAATAAAAAATATAAAATTGTACTTAAGATTGTACAATTCAATATAATGGTATAATTTTGAAAATTATATAAGGTGCAAAGCAGCTGTTGTAATGACTTGATTTAACATGACTTGGTTTAGTGCAGATTTTTACTAAATTAAAATAAAACCCAAACGAGTTTGATTGTTGTATTTAACATGACTTCCTAAAATTAAAAAAAAAAAAAAACATAACGACGCGTAATCCCGAACACCCGTAGTATTTCATGTCTATAATAAAATGAATGGTAATTTCAAATCAATTTAAAACCTTATTCTTCTTTCTAAAATAATTAAATCAATGATAAAATACTAGTTACTAAAAAATATTTAGTAGAATAAAATAATACGAAACAAATTCATGATCGTTGGCTTCTACTAAGAATTTCGTGCTTGATAAAATTGATTAAAATGTATCATCCTGTTTAAAATAAAATAAAAAATTGAATGTAAAAGAAACATCTCTTTTTTATAATATTTCTCTGTTCATTTCCCTCTCCTTTATATATAACTCGCAATCAAGGTTAACTAAATTCTGCTCCATTCCCTTATTAATGTTTCAAACAAAAGATCAATAAAAAAAGCCGGGTTAACAAAATTACTAAGTTAAAACAATCTACTAAGGAAATCAAGATAAGCAGATAGATCATACAAAATTATACTCGCAGATTGACGCTTATGATGGAGCACCAAGATATGAAGCAAGTCGTAAAATATCAGAAAATATTCCACCAGCTGTGACTTGAGCACCAGCTCCTGGCCCACGAACTATCAGAGGCTGATCCTTGTACCTTCTTGTTGTAAATGCAATTATGTTATCAGATCCAGATAATTGTGCAAACGGATGATCCTTCTTGTATCTTCGCAGCTCTACCACTCCTTTTCTATTAATCACGTCCACCACTCCCACATATCTCAAGACCTTCACAGTTCAAATACAACAATCTCAGAGTTGTGTCTGAGGGGCATGAAAAATATATACGAGATGTCCATGTACGTTTATATAGTTAAGGACACAAACAGCACCTCCAAACACATAAATATATTGTCGTACTTCTTTTACGTGTGATCAAGGTAAATATGGAAAATTAAGGTTGCTTGAAATATATAAAAGCTTCCTTCCACAAGGTTGGAGAGTCTTCGTTAACCAACCAGTTAAATATTTCATTTGGCACTTTATGAATCTAATCAGAAAATGCCCAACCCACCAATTGCGTCTCAAATGAGTATTACTTTATCTTTCTGTCTCATGCACTATGCAAAATTAAAACAAACAAGATATAATTACCTGTGTAAACTTCGAAAATAAAAAATAAAAAGCAAATATAATAGTGACTTTTCTAATTTTTATAACTTTTTCACAAACAAAACAAATACTAAGATGTTTGTGCATGAATTATGCATGGCAGATGCAGATAATACTCACTTCCCCGGCATTCTCTGCATCTTCTTGTTTCTTTGTGAACTCCTGATCAAATTTTGATAGCTCTTGCATAAACTCCTGAGCTGATGCACAAACCTGCACCAATTCATCCAAACATTATTTTAAATCAAAATGCTACACACTAAAACTAAAAAATGCATAATCAGTAGAAGTTGGTTCTTACTTGTAGTGGTTCTGGCACAAGGCTTTCAACCGGAATATTTGATAATTCTAGCTTTAATCCAGATTCCCTAGCAAGAATTATAACCTGTAGAGTCAAAGAAGCTTCATGATGTTAAATTTAAATGGCCACTGTCAGGATTACATGCAGCATCAAAATGCTATCATGAACCAAGATTTGCATTGTAGTTAATGGTTAAATATGACTATCACATGAAACAGGCAAATATGATATTTTACCACATCAAATAGAGAAATATCTAGCAAATATTTGTCATTATTAATCATTTTCGAACAAACTATTAACCTCTGAATCCTTAATGGTTTCGTGCTACCCTCCATCTGGTCTATTGTTCTTACTGGAATTTATACAAGCCTTCTATATGCCTAAAACACCTAAAGCACCTAAATCAAGCGTCTATTAACTTTTCTAATAAATGGTGCTAGTCCAGCTTTCTCTCTATTTCATTATCTTAATCCTTATCTTATTAAAGTATAACTATCCTCCATAACATTCTCATTTCTACTAGGATATGTAATGTTTATGCTAGGAGGAAGGCTGTAAAAAATAGGTTGTTACATGTTGTTAGGAGGTTTGTGCTGCTATAGTCTCCTTAGCGGGAAGACTATATATAGGTGTGGTTGAGTCTTAAGCAGGGTTACATTTTATGAAAGTTTGAGAGGCTGGACAGGATTAGTAGCATCCTTTGTGAAGGGAAACATTTTCCCCTGATTGTTTTCTTGTACTTAGGTTTTGGTGAAATAAAAGATACCTATTCAATGCTAGGTGTGGGTGTCACTTGTGTTTTTGCGTGTGAAATTGCACGTTTAGGGTTTCTCTCAATCAAGAAACTTAACATTTTTTCCGACCTGTCGGATCAAGAAGAGAAAGAATCATGGAAGGCAGAATGAATGCGCTTGAAAGCTGGGCCAGCGAACAGGATAAGGAAATGACAGAAGTGAGAGAAAATATCCAAGAAATGAAAGAAATGATGCAAAAGTCCAAGAATCACAAAAAGGGATTAGAAGGAAGTGAAAATTCCGTTAACAGAGGAAGAAAAGGAAAGAGAGAAGAACTTCTGCAAGACATCAAGAAAGCAAAGAAACCATCAGATGGAGGAGAAATCATTTGGGAGAAGAAAAGAGAAAAGGATGCCATTAAAAATAACGGAACTAGGAAGGGTGAGGAAGAAGAAATTAATATTTGGTTAGGTAGCTAGGGGGAGTGTTTAATTGTCAGCAATTCAGTTAACAGTTGGTTAGGATAGGGGGAACCTTAATAAAAAGGGTGAGGGGCAATTGTAAAGGGGTAGCTTTTGATATTCGTTGTATAGACAAGAGGTTGTTCCTGTGGAGGGAGAGTGCTCCCTTGAGGGTTGTGTGTTGTACTTATACATTCTTTAAATACAGAAGAATATATATATAGTTTTGTTTCTAAGTTGCCTGTGCGTGAGTGTTAAGTGAATGATAGATAGATTCCTTACTAAAAAAATCTATCTAGTGCTCAGAAGTATAATGGGCATATTGGAAAGCTCACTTGTAGAAGTGAGAATTTTACTAAGTGGAAGGACTTGCTAAAGAAGAGGAAAATCACACTTGTAGAGTCAAGAAATACTTCCAATGATGGGAATTGTTTTGTTAGTCATCGTATATCAGTTGTGAAGTAGAAAATAGAGGATAAATCTGTCACCAAGGAATCTCAAAACCGCTACTCAAGCTGCAAAGGATTGGGGATTGCGTGAGTTTGTGACTGTGGAAAATAAGACTGATTTATTATTCTCAATCATGAAAAATACATTCTGATACTTTCTATTTGTAATAATCTAATTCTCCTAAAAAGGGAAATAGGAAAACTAGGAAAGTAAAATAAAGGGAAATAGGGAAAATAGGAAAGTAAAATAAAATAAAGATTATATATCTATTTCCTCTAATTAGGAAGATTCTAAAGATATTATCTCAAATTACAACACTCCCCCTCAAGCTGAATCATAAAAAATTGTAAGAACCAAGCTTGGAATAGTCAAACTCAATTGTAGAGAACGTCAATAAACCAAATTCGACAACAATGGATGAAGGCGAACTAGCACCATGAAAGATCAACTTCGATAGCAATGGACGAGGGCGAACTAACACCATGAAACTTCAACTTGGACAGCAATGAACGATGGAGATTTCCATCAAAAATGGATGATGACTTGCAGCAGCAAACAACAACAAACTACAAGAACAGATGAAGGGCCTCTAGTGGCGAACAACAACAAACTACAGGAACTGGATTGCCATCAATAGTGGCAAACAATAACAAAACTTCAAGAACATGATTTCCATGAGTAACATATGGGAGGCCTTCAAAGGCTAACAGGGACTTAACTACCCTAAACAGCAACAAACCTTCAGGGACTTAACTGCCCTAAATAGCAACAGACCTGCAGCGATTACACTACCCTGCACCGACACTAAAAGGCTAACAGCCACAAACCTGTAGGGACTTTAACCACCCTGAACAAACCTTAAGGGACTTAACTGCCCTAACAACAACGAACCTTTAGGGACTTAACTGCCCTAAACAACAACAAACCTGCAGGAACTGAACTGTCTGCAGTGGCTAACAGCAACAAACCTATAGGGACTTAACCACCCTACAGCGGCTGAAACAACAACAAACCTACAGGGACTAACTACCCTGCGACGGCTGAAACTTTTCTTCCCCTCACGACTGAACGGCATATGCACGTCAATGACAGAACGTGAAGGTGGAAGAATTGGTGAGAACCGATTCGTACTTGGGGACAAATCTGAAACCCCTAACATCAAACGCACCAAATCAGCGAGTGGTCTCATAGAACAACTCATAGAACAACTCTCAGTGAGCTGTTATAACAAAGCATTGGCAGAAATAAAAAAACACCGAAGATTGGGACTTATGATGGCATCAAAAGGCCAAAGACAGGTTGGAGGTCCAAAGTTCTCTATTGGACTACTCCAAAAAGGTGATACTTAATACTGTATCACAAGAAGTACGAGCTAAACTCTAACCCGAAAAGAAAGTTTTCTACAGGGGCTGAAAAATATTTCCCCCTACGGCAAACAGCGAGAACGATGGCTAGTGCACTTCACAAGACACTCTTAATCTTGACCAAAGAAAATACGACAGCTTATGGAGGCAACAACGACAAACTGCAGAGGTTGCAACAACTGACTGCAACGACAACGACACTAAAGCATCCGCCAACAAGCCTGATGAATTGTTGACTAAAACATTACAGCTACAAAAATAGACTCCCCTTCATGCCACAGGCAAACGAGGACATCACACTTGCAAGAGAGAATCACGGAATTGTGGAGACAGGCTTGGCCACAGGTGTCGGTGCCAATCAATGCTGCGTAAGAAAGAGGAAGAAGAAATCCATTGGTGGTGGCAGAAAGCCCGTGAAGGTAGAGAACCCTTCTCAATGGAGAAGAAGATAACGGAAGAAACACAACAAACACTGCCGCCCAAGAAGTTACCGAAACACTGACACACTTTGTAATTGTTAGAGTCTTTCCTTCTTCGCACTTTTTCAGTGAATCAATTTCCAGGTGCAACTGGATGACACCTTTCAGGATGGAGAAGAAAATTGCGGAAGCAATAGGGGTAGGAATGACAACTAACTGTGACGGCAACGGTGGCGACTAACTGCATCGAAGAGAACAACAAAGGACAATAGTTGCGAAGTGGAAACGCGAGGTGACACCCTCTCCTCCTCGCGGCTGAGATGGATCCTCATCAACCCGTCGCGGAAGTGTGTTGCGAGGAAGATGAAGATTCTGTGAAGCAACAAAGATGGTAGCAAGGCAGCTATGGGGGGTCAGAACAGAGAGGAGGAGGTCCAGCGAGTCGACCGAAAGCGTCGCGTTATGATTCCGACACGGGGACAGCAGTGCGTGACAAACACGCACACGAGATCTGCCGGAGATAGGAGGCGCGTGACGGTGTGTGCGGAGGTGTCTGAGACGTCAACCACTAGGGTTAGGTCACGCTCGAAGAGACGATCCAGATCTGGAAGTAACCGGTCGAAACTGCGACGGTGGCCGGCGGTGATCGACAGTGGAGATCGATTGGGTTGCGGCTTACAAAGGTGAACAACGGAAAAACAATGAACAAGAATTCTTCAGATGATTGGAAGCTAATGAGAATGCCTATGATTGGGCGTTACAGGAGGGAAGGCACCAGTTTCAGGTATTGGTCTAAAAGGGCATGGTTAGGCGAGGCACTATAAGCGTGATCTTGAGGCAGAGAAAAAACAGAATTCTTAAAAGAGGAACTTGGCTACGGGAACTGGAGTCACAAAGACATAGGTTGAAAAAGAGACTTTTAGGGGACCGCCGGCGGCCATGGCGGCCAACCGTCGGCAGACAACAAAGACAGCGGGAGCGGATCAGACAAGCTCTGATACCATGTTGAAAATAAGACTGATTTATTATTCTCAATCATGAAAAATACATTCTGATACTTTCTATTTGTAATAATCTAATTCTCCTAAAAAGGAAAATAGGAAAACTAGGAAAGTAAAATAAAGGGAAATACGGAAACTAGGAAAGTAAAATAAAATTGTTAGATATATTATATCTTTCATCTTTTAGTTAGTTTGTTATTATTTCTCATTTGTATTTTGGGCTTAGCACATATTTCTTCTATTATAAATAGAGAACCCTATGTGTGTATTTTACACAAGGGAGATTAATCCAAATATAGTTTTTCACTATATTCAACATGGTATCATAGCAGGTTCTCTGATGTTCCTCCGGGTCTCTGCTGTCTGCTGGCGGCCGGCCGCTTTGGCCGCCAGCAGCCCCTAAAATTTCAGTGGGCAGCCCTTATTTTCTTCTTAAATCTGTGACCATCGCCAGCCACTGTCCGCTGCCAACCTCTGTCCACGGCCGGCCACAGTCGCCGCCGCTGCCGTCGCCGTCACCACCGTCGGCCACCGTCACAGTTTCGACTGGTGACCTACGGATCTGGACCGTCTCTTCGAGCGACGGCCAACCACGCCGGTTTCGAGAGCCACTTCTCAGTCACGCGCCGCCACGCAGCGCTTCTTTCCGGCCAGTCTGCCGTCGCCGCCACCGAATGTCGTTTGNAAATGCCCAACC